GTGTTTTGGCTGTTATGTAATGATGTAGTCATCCTCCGTTTTGTGATCTGATTGCAGACTACCGGTTTTCACAAAATGACCTGGTCTTTGAAACCTAACCATGAAGAGTGGGTATACACTCTTATTTCAGATTTTATTACAAATGGAATAAAGTGATAAACCAAACCATTTGCTATGGAGTTGTTCTGCGTCACGGTGACGTCACTTCTGTAGAGTACAACTGTGTTCCTTAGGGTTTTCAAGGCTGTGACCTTTTGGAAGCAGATTGTCAGGCCTTTCTTCCAGAGTGCCTCTGATGAGTTCGAACTGTCAATCTTTTGGTTAGTAGTTGAATAGCTAACCAAGCACTTAACCATTTGCATCACCCTGATGTGGAAGAAAGTCCTCATGGTCTACTTCAGAACAGGCCCAGCATTGACAACTGTACGGTACACAGTTCCGTTCTGCACATATGGGGCGGGGCTGGGGCCGGGGGTGGGGTGCCACGAGTCAGAGTCAACTTTAAGGCAACTGGTTAAGCAAATGCCATGTTGTTGTTAAGTGCCGTCGAGTCGGTTCCGACCCAGAGACGCTCATTGGACTGCGAACCTCAAGGTCAGCAGTTCGAAACTACCAGCTGTTCCGTGGGAGCAAGATGAGGCTTTCTGCTCCTGTAAAGATTTACAGCCTTGGAAACTGTACAGGGTCTCCATGAGTCTGAACCAACTCCATGGCACACCGCCACCACCAATATAGGGTTTCCAAGAAATGGATGTGAGTTTCAACCGCCAACCTTGTGTTCAAACTGACTTTGCATTCCAGTGCATTAATCCACAGTGCCACACTGGGACTCTTACAGAAATGGATAAAATTGTATTTGAGCTGATAAAATTAAAGCTTAGATTAATTGTAAAAATAAATTACATTTATATATTCTGGTGTATTATACCTTTGGAGTCCTAGTGTTGTGCTGTAGAATAAGCACTGAACTGCCAACCAAAAGCTGTTCCTTGGAAACCCTATACAGGGTTGCTATGAGTGAGTACAGACTTATTGGCACTTGACCACAACAATTATATTTTTTGAACTGAAAGAGAAAAAAATCTTAAAAATATTTATGCTCTTTGACTCATTAATTCTACTTCTAGGAATTTAACCTAAGGAAATATGGTAGAAGTTCACTTACCTATCTCCAGACTACCTGATGTTCTCCATTCTATTTGTAAATACAGTGAGTGATAACATTTGTCTGTTACTTTATAGTGTGGTCCCACATTGCTTCCACCATTTGAATTGTTAAGTGCTGTTAAGTGCAGTTGAGTTGGTTCCGACCCATAGTGACCCTGTATAGGGTTTCCAAGGAGCAGCTGGTGAGCTTGAACCGCCACTTTGCAGTTCAAACGAACTTTGCAGTCTAGCGCATTAACCCACAGTGCCTCACCAGGCCTCCACCATTTGAATGGATCTTGTCAACCTTCATATAGTTGAACAAGTTGAGTTTATTACTTATTTGAAGCAAGGGAGAATGTACACTATGGGGAACCATTGTGTATTTGAGGAAGACAATGTTAGGAAGGAGTTACTATGGGGGTCAGGCTTGTGTTAGTTATTTGGGGAGAACTGAAGTAGTGGAGTCTTGCTCGGGGTTGGCAGCTGTCAGGAAGTGGCCAGCTCTGAGGGGAGCGCCGACTAGAGTGAGACCTAGTGACGCTGCCAGAGAAGCAGCAGTCACACACAGTAACCAGGAGAGGGGGGGTGTTCGTATTTTGGAGGTTGCTCAGTGACCTTGGTTTTGTCTGTGCTTTGACAGTATTTTGAAGTGATCTTGTTTATTTCACTTTTACCTGGTCTCAGAGTAACCTTTTCTGATGTTGATGTTTTGTGAGATTGTTTATGTTCAACAGGAGAATAACATGGCTTGACTTTGAGCCCTAGTCCAGCTACAAACAACACTGAGGCCTCCTTGCATGTGGCCCACCATTTTCCAGATGTAAGGAGCAACTTTTGTCTTTATCTTAGAGTCTTACGAAGAGTCAATTGAAATTTTTTTATGCCCATGGTATTTTTGCAATTATACAGTTTCATTAGATGTTAGATAAAAGATTGAAATAAGTCTAAAAAGAAAAAGGAATTCGTTTTATGAAAATGAGATTGAATGCTTTGGAAGTTAAAATGGCTCTTGAATTAGTGGTAGGTAGAAGATAGGGTTGACATCCACTGTGAATCAGAATCTACTCTGTGACACACAACAGCAAAAGACAGGTGATGAAATAACTAGGCCATTCAGAACACATTTGCACAAGAAAAATTCTGCATGTTGATTGCCTTACAAATGTTTTCTGATTCTGGCTCCATTTTAAAGAAACTCACATTATAAACTGCAGATAATACAAGAGGGTGGATAAAGTCCATTGTCTTTTAACTCCATTTTTCCATGAATCTCTGAAGCCTCCACGTATATCATGAATGTGATTGAAATAGTAAAGATGATATTGAACTCTCATAGCTGGAACCACACTTAAAGACAAGATCTTTGTCTTCTAACACACTAGTGAATTAACATACAGGTAGGCCCAAGCTATGACAAGGTTCCATTTCAGTCTGGCTCTTTGCTCAGTGTGTTTCATTCATTTGCTGAAGGTCTGTGTAAAAGAACCTATAATATTCCCAAATGAAAAGCAAAGCAAAGGCACAGGCATAATTTGTTTAGCCTGGGGTTCCTGTGGATTTAATTGACAGTGATTTTCCAACTTCTAAGGCTTAGCATAGATTGTTGTCATTAGGTGCCATCAAGTCGGTATTGACTTATAAGCAACCACATGCACAACAGAGTGAAACACTGCCCAGTCCTGGGCTAACCTCACAATTACTGTTAAGCTTGATCCCATTGTGCCAGTCCATCTCATTGGGGGTCTTCCTGTTTTTCTCTGACCCTCCCTTTTACCAAGCATGGTATCTTTCTCCAGGGACTAGTTCTTCCTGATATGTCTGGAGTATGAGAAACAAAATCTGGTCATCTTGGCTTCCAAGGAGCATTCTGACTGTACTTCTTCCAATATAGATAGATTTGTTTGTTCTTTTGGCAGTCCATGGTACTTTCAGTATTCCCCTCCAGCACCATAACTCAAATGCATCAGTTCTTCTACAGTCTTCCTTATTGACTGTCCAACTTTCACATGCATATGATATTATTGAAAACACTATGGCTTGGATCAAGGAGCTCTGGTAGCGTAGGGGTTACGAATCGGGATGCGAACCTTAAGGTCAGCGGTTCGAAACTACCAGCCGCTCCGCGGGAGAAAGATGAGGCTTTCTACTCCCGTAAAGATTTACACCCTTGGAAACCCTGTACAGGGTCGCTACGGGTCGGAACCGACTCAACGGCACTTAACAACAACAACAACGTGGCCTGGATCAGGCACACCTTAGTCCTCAAACTGACATTGTTGCTGTTGAACACTTTGAAGAGGTCTTGTGCAGCAGATTTGTGTAATTCAATACGTCATTTGAGTTCTTGACTGCTGCTTCCATGAGTGTTGATGGTTGATCCGAGAAAAATGAAATCTTTGAGAAGTTCAGCCGTTTCTCCATTTATCTTGATGTTATTTATTGGTCCAGCAAGCAAAGTTAATGAGTCTTTCTTCAATCCTGATGCCATGTTCTTCTTTGTCTAACCCAGCTTCTTGGATTATTTGCTCAGTATACAGATTGAATGCATATGGTGAAAGAATACAACCCTGACACACACCTTTCCTAATTTTAAACCATTTAGTGTTCCCTTCTTCTGTTCAAACAAATGTCTCTTCGTCTATACTGCTTATAAAGATGATTAAGATATATATTAAGTGAAGAAGTAGTTCATAACAGAATATACAATGTACTGTCATTTGTGATTAAACCTTTTTTAAAAAATTGAGAGCTAATTTGAAAAGAATACAAAAGAACATGGCAGTGGTTTCATCTTCTAAGGAATGGCCAGATGACCTTTTACCTTTTACTTTACGTCCTTCTCTCTTGTATTGTTTTAAATAATGGCATACATTTTTAGTTCAGTGTAGCTAATACTTTGAAAAGCAGTAATACGTAATGAATACTAAGCTGTAGTCATTGCCATTAATGCTTTATCTGCCTCTACCTACATGCCTTTACGCAGGGTTCCGCTTATCCCACAGTGTTCCAACCAGCTCCCTCAACCCAATTCACTGCCTCAGTGGTTCCTAGTGTACCTGATCCCACTTTGATCGACACAGCACTTCAAGTTTGGAATTGTATACTTTTAAATTGCCTAGACTTCCTATTCTGTTTCCCAAGGAATTTGAGACTTAACAATAAAGTGTGCTTCTTGGGAACTGCAAATTATACAGGCTAATAGGTTTGTGCAATTGAGCAGTAAGTTATTTCTCAGTTTCCTTGAAGTAGGGCAAAAAGGAAAATATGCTGAGCTCTGAAGCTCTTGTGACTTGACAAGAGGACACATACCATTTTGTTTTAAAAAATGGTTTTTTGCTGATAGTAAATTTTGAGAAGGAATTTGTTTTATGGACCCTTTTCTGTATCTGTGTTTTTCTGATCGTTTCTTATTTGTTGGTTTTGTCTACCTCACTAAATCATAAGTTTCCTTATGAGAAATTTCATTTTCTGTACTATTGTTTTGTTCGGCCTCCTCCTAGAAAATGTGCACTTAATTCAAGCAACAACTACAACCTAGCCCCATTTCATGGCTATGTTACTGCCACTTTGCAAAGATGGTTAGTCTTTGAGGGACTGATGTGAATACATTTTGGAAGTTGATGTTGCTTGCATCCTCCTCACTAGAGAATCATCTCTGATGCATCTCAAAAAAAAAAAAGAATTATTTCTCAATGTGTCACTTTTACTGAATTTTGTCATTTTGAAGCCCATACTTTCCAGCCAAGTAGATAATGTGAAGAATTAGAAATTTGTTTGAACTTTCATTTTAGGAAAGTGAAATCCTTTAAAATATGGCCAATAGCTTTCAACCATCTTTTCCTTTCTCTTAGGCCAAGTTATCAAAGCCTGGGATATCGGCGTGGCGACTATGAAGAAAGGAGAGGTCTGTCACTTACTGTGTAAACCAGAATACGCATATGGCTCAGCTGGCAGTATCCCCAAAATTCCCTCAAATGCAACTCTCTTTTTTGAGGTAAGTATGTGCTGTGACGTCGCCTCGTCAGCATCAGCCGTATGATCGCGCTGCCTTTGAAGCTGCAGTCACTGAAACCAGGAACTAAGCCTGCTCTTACGAGTCAGATCCAACTTATTTACTTTGGAGCTTGGGTTCTTGAGTTCGTTCCCACAAGCCTAAAGGGTGTGTGCCAATGCTTTCTTAGAAACGTATCTCTGGCACAAAAGATCAATCCAAATAAACAAAGGACATCAGACTTACAAGTAAAGATTCTGGTCAATGATGTGAGTATAACACGCTCAAAACTGACCAGAAGACAGGATGGAAATGTTGGAAATAATATTAAGATATACCCAAACCAAACTGGGAGGTGTTTTCATATTGTTGTTGTTGTTTAGTGCCAACAAGTTGATTCCAATTCATAGCAACCCTGTATAGTTGCTATGGAGGGTTTGAACTGTCAACTTTGTGGTTAGCAGTCACAGTTCTCACTTCTTAAAGATATGGTGGTGGTTGTGAAGTGCCATTGAGTCAGTTCCAACTTACAGCAACCCTGTGTGTAGGGTTTCTGAGGCTGTGAATCTTTGCGGGAGCAGGAAGCCTCTTCTTTCTCCCGTAATGTGTGTGTGTGTGTGTGTGTGTGTGTGTGTGTGTGTGTGTGTGTAGTAATGTAGCTCAAGGAAATGACTTGACTTACCAGGAAAGTGGTAGATGGTGATAATAAGTTATTCATCCTGTGTTGAGTCACACATATTTCACAAAACCTGATTTTAAAAGTAAGGGAGAAACTGCTGGGACCATCCTACTGAGGTAAAATAAAACTTTAATTGACCTGACTCTAGGATTTATTCTTACAGTTTAGGAAGAGAGCTCCAAGAATCTGGAGTGGAAAATAAGTGGCCTCCGAGTCACACAAAGGAGCTGTGTGCCAGCACCTCGTAGCTCTGGCTTTTTGCCCACAGAGCAGTTTTCCTAGTATTCCCTGCCTGTCTCTGCTCGGCAGTCCCACAGGATGTGGTCCTAGACATTATAGTTACGTGACGGTTCTTTCCAGGTATTGAAAAGCGCAGTGTTCTTTTCCCCTGCTTTTCCAATAACTAAGATGCATAGATAATTATCTTTTAATAGTCTTTATTTTGTAAAATAAAAGGAGAATAGGGTTGTCCTTGCTTTTACCGTGTTAAATTGGCTTTGTGTGGTCTTTTCTCAGCCAAATCCCTTTCTCCTTTCTAGATTGAGCTGCTTGATTTCAAAGGAGAGGATTTGTTTGATGATGGAGGCATTATCCGGAGAATCAAACAGAAAGGAGAGGGATACTCAAACCCAAACGAAGGAGCAACAGTAGAAAGTAAGTACTGTTATGAGAGAGAACAAGTCTCATTGCCACCCCAATGTCCCATGCTTTGATAACTTGGGTTCCATTGATATAAATCAAGTGGAGACCTAAATAATATTATTTATATAGATTGTTGTTGTTGTTGTTGTTGTTAAGTGTCATCAACTTGATTCCAAGTCCTAGTGACCCAGTATAGGATTTCTAAGGAATACCTGGTAGGTTTGAACCAGTGCTTCTCTTACAGTGCCACACCAGGGCTTGAAATGTTGGCTGTACTGGGCTCTCTTGCCTCAGTGTGTTCAGCCACATTGGAATGCAAAGAATGCAGACAATCAGCAGTGTTTTCAAATGTGAGAATTTCAACAGAGTGATCTGCAGATTCAAGCTGTTGGAGCATCTCCCTTCCCTCTCACCTCCCTTCCCTTTTACCTCCTTCCCCTTTCCAAATCCTACTGAAATGATAAATGAAAAGATAATCATTTTAAGAAGTGAAATAAATCCATAATAATGCTGGAAAATAGGGTAATATAAGCAGTAGATGAAAAATTAAGAAGAATGTCTGGAATCTATAAAGTAGATGAAATTAGGTTGATGGAAAATATAGTGAGGAAACCCAACCCAAAACAGGTGTGGAGAAAACCTCCACAGAGGTACGTACTGTTCTCAACAAGCTTGGGCAGAACTCCAAGCTCACAGTCAGCGGGTGCTAGGGAGCCAAAGCAGGCTATGGGGCAATCATCAGGGTTGTTATAAAACAATATGGAACAGCTGGGCCAGTAAACGTCTAGTGCAGTAAGTAGTTCTCAACTTTGGCAGCATTTAAAATTACCTGGGGAGCATTAAAAAAAAAAAAAGATCCTGATGCCCAGGCTCGGCCCAGACCAGTTAAATAAGAATCTCAAAAGATGGAACTATTTGAGTATTTTTCTTATAATTCTAGTTTGCAGTCAAGGATTGAGAATTACTTCTTTAGGGCCTAGCTACTGATGTTTACCCTCAGGCTAAAGCCAGTAGGGCCAAGTTTTCCAAGGACTCCAAGTGCTGGCCAGGCTATGCGTGTGCGCTGTACTGTCTTGTCAATTCCAACACGGACAGAGCAGAGCTACACCACAGGGCTTCCTCGGCTGGAATCCAACATGGACAGAGCAGAGCTACACCACAGGGCTTCCTCGGCTGGAATCTTTCCAATAGTAGATTTCCAGGTCTTTGCTCCTTTGGAGAGTTTGAATCTAATATCCTTTGAATTCTTAAAACAGATTTGGAGGGGGAGTGGGAGTGAAGGCATTTCTGTTGTTAAGTGCCATCGAGTCAGTTCTGACTCAGTGATCCTGTGTATGGTTTCTGAGGAGCGGCTGGTGGCCTTGAACTGCCGACCTTGCAGTCCCGTGCATCAGTCCACATAGAGCAGTAAATATGCTTAAAGCACTCAGCTCCTGAAGTAAAAACTTTTTCATACATCAGCAGTGGGGAAGGGTGCCCCCAACCTCCCTGTGCACATCATGCTCAGCATAATAACTGCTCAGTGAATATCTGTGAAATCTGGACGATAGTTATGAGGCGCCATCAAGTTGGTTCCAGCTCAGAGAGAACTTATGCCCAACAGAACGAAACACTGCCCGGTCCTGTCTGTGCTAGCCTCCCAATTGTTATGTTTCAACCATTGTTGCCTCTGTGTCGGTCCATCTCATTGGGGTCTTCTTTTATGCTGACCCTCCCAGCATGATGTCCTTCTCCAGGGACTGGTCCCTCCTGATAACATGTCTGAAGTATGAGAGACAAAGTCTCACCCCCGTGGCTTCTAAGGAACGTTCTGACTGCGCTTCTTCCAACACAGATTTCTTTGTTGTGCTGGCAGTCCATGGTACTTTTAATCTTCACCACAGATCTCCACAATTAGAACATTCTTTTGGAAAAAGGTCTGCCATGGAAAGACATCCAGTGATTTAGAAATCCTGTGCCATGTTATAATACTCATTTGGTGATTATAAATCCTTCCTTTATATGAATTGGTGATCTGAAAGATAGTCCAGGATATCTCAGAACATTGAACCAAAAAAGAGATGAAAGGTGTGAGGAAAACTAGAAGACATGGATGATGCATCCAGGAGAGATGATAGCGTGTAGTCAAATAGGTAATTGACGAAACTTCCTTGAGAAGATAGATTGGAAAGGCCAGTTGTTTTTGGAAAATAGAAATGGGATTTCTTTTTCATCAAGATACATCCTGGTGAAATTTCTGAATTTCAAAGCTAAAAAGAAAATTCTGAAGACTTCCAGAGGAACAAGCTAAGTAAAGAGATTCAGACTGGCATCAGAGTTCTCTTGGGTGACAACACTAAATACTAAATGACAATGCTCTGAGTGCTGTCTGCAGCGATGAATATTTAGAACCTAGAATTCTATATTCAGTCAGGCTCTTCATTTAAGTATGAGAACAAAGTTATTTTTAAAAAATAGAGTCATACTATTTTTGAAAAGAATTCAAGAGGATACCTAAAGCTCACAAAAAGCAAAATCAAGAAGTGAAACTTTAAGACATAATAAATATCAATAATGATAATTTCCATAAGATGACATTAAAGTTGGATACATTTATCCTGAAAAACTGCTAAAACAATAGAATTATAATGTTAAAAGTAACATTAATACTGGTATTTTAACACTTTGGACTTAGAATTCTGGGTCATTTTAATAAAATATGGAAGGGGTGGGAAGTGAAGGAGAT